CGGAGATCGAGAGCGCTCGGGCGAGGTAACTCGCGAAGCGTCGCGCATACTCACTCGTCCTCGGTGTACAATCGAGCTTTCTTGATCACGGGCGGAGTGTCGGAACGATCGCGGGTGGTATCCTCGTCCTTGGCGGAAGCCGCGTAATCTTCTCGACGGTTAGGCGGGAGCGGCGGGGCGACGAAGGGGCCCATCATCGGCGGCGCCGACGGAGTCGTGGGCGTCGCGGATGGGTCCCCGAACACTTTGCGGTACTCCTGTCCGAGTCCAGCGAACATAATCGGTCTCGCGAACAGGGCTTCGATGTTCGTAGGAAAACACTGCGGTGGTGGCGGTTGCGACGGCGTCGTTAACGTTGGTTATTGCGAGGAGAGAGAGAGAGATTCATCGGAGACGCTCGCTTAGAATCGGACGCGCGTTAATCACGAGTATCGTTGGAAATGTCGCGAGCATCGATCGAGATTGCGTCGTATATATAATCTCGATCGTCGTTTCGATATCTTTTTTTCTCGACGTGTGCGTTATGCGCGTTAATTAATTCAGCGGAAGCAGTTTAGAACAGCGATTTAGAACAGCATATTAAATGTAATCTTAACATTAGGTTTCAGGATTTCCTGATCTCAGTCGTCATCGTCATCGTCGTTGCGCGGTCTTCCAAAGGACGCGTATTCCAGACGATACAGCTTGGAGACGAGTTCGCTCAATCTATTCCCAGTATACTAAGATTGAAGGGACCGGCCGAAATTATCGCGTCGATGAACTCGTTGTACGCGTAATACTCGCGTTTCTTCAGGAAATAGAGATTACCGTCGATGTGGCGGAAGGCCGCCGTTATCGCGGATGGTATTCCGGAAAACGTATCCCGCATAGCGTCGTAGCGGTCATCGGGCAGTCGTTTATCTCGGCTATTTTATCGTCGTTGTATATGACATAGCTACGCCCGTGCGTGTTTATCGCGACGTTTATCCTAGCGTCGCGGGGAAATCCGACGTATTCGACGGATCTAGGCCATCTCGCTTTAAGACGAAAATTCGAATTGGCGAGGTAGACGTAGTCGCCGGCGAATATCGCAATATCGCTCGAGGATCTCTGATGCATGGCCGATATGCGAGTGAGATTGCGGGGGAGGAACTTGAAGCAGTCGGCGAACGAGAAGGGCGCTCCGTAGCGTCTCTCATATCGATGGGCCACACGTTGCGTTTACGCGCGACGTACAAGCGACGATTCATGATTAACGCTCCGTTTATGCGCTTCAAGGCGCATAGATCCGCGGTATCGGAGGGAGCGAGCGTCTTAAGGGGATGCTGAACGTTCTTTTTTACCGACTGATCGATTATTTTACTCCTGCACTGAAAAATTTGTATTGGTTACATAGAATGACAAATCCTTTTTCACGATTAAAATACGCATAAAAACATACGACGAGGTAATCGATTTGTAAGTAAAAAACTAAAAAAGTTAAAAAACAGAGTTGTAACTTAGTTGCTGCATTTTGCGATAGGCGGCACTACAATCTGTTTTACTTTCGTGCCTCGATCTCGAACGCGTGAAAATGCAATTTTTTGTGAACCGAAATTAGCTTTATTATATTATGAAACTTATTTTTAACAATTTATTTACATTCTTTCATGCAATCACTTACACGGAGTAGTCATATTTTGTATATACAAGCTACTAAACTTTTAAAATAATGATCTTATGGGACGCCAACAGCCGACAACAGAGCGATATATATATATATATATATATATATATATATATATATATATATATATTTTTATGATACGGTAGATACGGGGACCATCTACAAGTGACATATACATATGTATACATTCGTCTACATTGATCTTTTAATGTGTATTTGGTTATTATTTTTTATATGTATATTCAATGAACAAAAATACATGAAAATTTAATTTTTTTTATAATTCGTTAATTGTCGGTACCATTAAAAACTGTATCAAGAACTTATTATAAACGATATACATAGTGCTAAAAGCAGCATACATGTTTTTGCAATAGCTGTATGCATTATATTTCATAGTTAGTTGTAGTTTGTATGCATTATAATAAACATTATATCGAAAAAAGGAAGGTTCTTATGTATAGTATTTTAATGGGACTGGGGCATTATACGTAAACTACTCTAAATTATTGATATGTAATGGACACAGAATTCTTATTGTAATTTGTAATTTTATTGTGAATTGATCTGAATGATTTTTAAATTTAAACTGTTTTGTCGCACGTTACATAGGTTGTGTTCCGAAATTCACTGGCAGTACTGCTAGCATATCATCATCTTTGTTGTTTACCAAGTGTTAGACAAGGATAATAACATGCTAGCAATACTGCCAGTGAATTTCGGAACAGCCATAAGAGTTGCAGAGGGCGCTTTCAATTGATTGACTATATGTTCAATTGTTTTTATTGTTTTATTATACCAATTGTTTTATTATACTTAGTAGTTCATGATGTAATGTATTATTACGTAAAAATTTTATTGAATATGCATGATTCGCTTGTTAATAAACGGGTTTAGTATGTAAATATTTGTCAGTAATTGTTTTTGTGTTATTTTAATTGTTTTTGCGTTATTTTAATTTTAACTTAATCATCATGTTTTATATTATCAAACTTGAATTTTATTTCGTATGTACATCTATAATTATTTAATCTTTATTTTCTATGCAGGAAACTGTTTTGTACACAAATTCAGCACAATATCTCTGATATTGCTAATTTGTAGCAGTCATCTCATAAATTTCATGTTTTTAATATAGAGGTTATAACTGATATAAAGGTTATAACTAATTATTTTCCTGAAGTGAGTCAACAAAATAATTAAAGTATTAAACTAAGTTTTATGGCTACTAAGTTTGTTCCATTCGACGATTAACTAAACATTTCATAAATATATATTTTTTGCACATATAATTCTATAATAATTAACAGCATTCTGTTAGAAGATACATTAGTTAATTGTAAGCGTAATGCTGAATTTAATTCAAAGTTTCTAGTTTCCAGAGTTAAAGACAAAATATGTTTGCATTAGTTTTATTTTCTGATAATGTATATTACATCTGCAAAGAAACAGACATAATAAAAGGAAAAAGCAGTTGTAGTATTAAATACAAAAATGGCAAACGATATGCTGGCGAAGTTATTGCCTATGAAAGTATGTAAAAATTATATGCGTAGTAAAAATTTTTAGTATCTTTGCAACATACTATTTTAATTGTGTGGCACTTAAATTAATGTAACCTAATGTTAATACGAGTTTACATTTTAATGTTATATATATATATATATAAATTAAATTTATATTTATCACAATGTTACTTACTTATAAAAGTAACTTTAACTTCGTAATACAAAGATTACTCTTTTGCATTATTCAAAAATAGATTAAAATATAATACTTTATTGCTATTCAATTAAATCATTGTGTCACTCTTATATTATATTTAAAAGAATATTCTATTTTGACTATTTTTTGACAAAAGACTAGATTAAATATTTGTTTATATTTGGTTTGTAATAAATTTTTTTCCTTTTATTAATCCTTAGATAATTATGAAAAATTGGAAACCCTAAAAGTTAAAATGGAAAATGAAAATGATATAAAAAATAAAAAGCAGTCCAGTAAGTAAACCCACATTGTTACAATTTAGAAAGTATAAGGATTAGAAAACTTAATATTATTATTTCATTTATTTATAGTTAAAGTCTATAATAGCAATGTTAATGAAAGAACCTCAAGAAAAATTGCATTATTTGAAAATAAGGAAAATTTATGCACTCTAAATACAAGCCAGATGAATATTAAAATGAAAAAGCAGAATAGAAAATATAATGGTAATAAAAAGGAAAATTTGTGCACTCTAAATAAAAAAACAGGCCTGATGACTAATACGAAAAAGCGTATTAAAAAATATAATGGTAATAAAAAATATATTTATTATTATTTATATTTGCACTTTAGTTAACAATAACATTTATACATGTTTTTAGTGCCTAGACGCAATACGAACAAATTACAGCAAAATGGAAATTTCACACAAGATGGAAATATATCTAACAATTTAAATAACATAAAGTCAACAGAAAAAGATATAATTGAAATCTCGAATGACACAAGTAGAAATATTTTTTTTATTTAACTGAATATTTTTCATTACTTTTGCACTTTACGTTTAGTACTGTATTGTTAAACATTAATGAAAATAACTTGTTTCAATTTTATTTTTTTTTTATTTGTAATTAATAAACACGTTTCTTAAGTATCTGTTGACAGGCATAATAGAGAAGAGTCAGAAAACAGAGATGTATCAAATATTGCAAAAGATACTACAAATAAAAAGCCTAACATTTTCAATAATATTGGTATAAATATTAATATTATTGTATTAAATTATCCTTTTTATATAGATTATGTTTATTAAGCCTTGAATAATTTGCTTTCAATAAATTGTGCTCTTATTTGTACTTGTTTTTAAATTATTAAATTAAGTTTCTATTAATATTTCCAATTTGACAAAAAATTTTAATATTACATATTACAATAAAAAAATTATTTGCATATATAATATATCATAGAGTTAGCAATATTGAGAATAACTATGATTATTTATTATACATTATTATAAAGTAACATTATTTTAGATGCGGAAGCAACTAATAATGAATATACAGAATTGATTACTTTTAATATAGTTAACCTACCAGATAATTCTAATCAACGTTCTACAGAACCTATTGTGGATTGTCAAAACATTTTAGATTTTAGCATAGGTGAATTAAATGAGCAAGCTAAAAGAAATACACACATAGTATATATAATATATATTATATATATTATACATAGTATATATTATGTATAAATTTGATGGTCTTTCGATTTTATTGGATTTACTTGAAATTTATCATTTTTGTTAAAATTTTTTTAGATTTTCAACGGTCATCTATAAGTTTGGATTTGCTCACTCATTCTAATAATAATGGGTAATAATGGGTTGCTTTTTTTTTTCGTTTGCTATTAAATTAAAAACATTTTTACTAAAATTATAATGTGATGCAGGAATATTTTATCACCGCTTGAAATAACAGAACAAAAAACATTTGACTCTCAAGCTATAAATTACAGCATAAATGAATATTGTGATAATAGTTTTGACGATGTATCATACCCACCTCGTTTTAATTTAATAAACGTACGAGAAGAAGGTATAACAATTTCATATTGTAATTTTATATTAAAATTTATCATTAGAATCAATTAGATACATTTTAATTTATAATAGTAATTTTGACATTTTTACGCATTATATTTTAGAATATCTGGACACTATTAAATATGTATTGAAAATAATTATTTTATATATTAAGTAAAAGAGTAGTAGTAAACATTTAATTTCTTATTGCAGAAGACGAAGATGAAGTAAGTCGTACTGGTTCAATCAGTGAATCAAATGATTCATCTTATAGACCTGATTCAGATACTTCTGAAAACAGTAATGTAGAAGATAAAAATAATTCGAAAACTTCGATGATAGACAAAAATCAAGATTTACAAATTTCTAAAACATCACATAATACAACTCTAGAAAGGTCACTTTCTCCTAGACATGCGCCAGATGACACAAATATGTTTGTAAAAACTGTTGAAACTGGAAATAAGAAAGATTTTTGTGTTTATTGCCACACGGAACAATCCAAACTGAGTCGTCATCTCAGTAGAAAACACAGCAATGTAAAAGAAGTAAAGGATATCTTAAATATTCCTAGGGGACAACCAGAGCGTAGAATCTTATTTAACAAAATTCGTAAAAATGGACATTATCTTTTTAATACTAATTCAGATGTCAATACAGGTGAATTAAAAGTTATGCGACGTCCTAATGTTAAATATAATAAAAATGCTAGTGATTTTTCTATATGCCCTCAATGCAAGGGTAACTATTCCAAATCAGCTCTTCGACATCATTATAGAAGATGCAATAAACGAAATTCTACATACAATAGAACTATATTATCCAAATCAAGGAAAATTACTGGTCGAATTCATGAATCTGCGTGTAAAATTCTCCGGGAACGCGTTTTTCCAACATTGAGAGATGACGATGTTACAAGAATTATAAGATATGATGAATTGGCTATTAATTTTGCAAATAAACTATGTGAAAAATTTCAAGATCCTCACTTTTATGACATGATACGACAAAAATTGCGTCTGATTGGTCGTCTCTTTCTTGAAATAAAGAATCAAAATGATAAAATCGATGATCTCTTTACAATTTTTGTACCAGACAATTATGATAACTGTCTCAGAGCTGTTAGAACTTTAGCAGGTTTAAATGAGTTAGGAACTGGCTTTAAAACCCCGTCAGTAGCAACATCTTTGGGTACTTTACTAAAACAACTTTGCAAGCGATGCATTACCGTAATGATAAAGAGATGCGATAAAGAAAAACGAAAACTTGCAGAACAATTTTTAAATCTATTAGTAGAAGATTATTCATCTTCTATTGCTCGAACAGCTGTTGAAACACTGCATCAGAAAAAAAGATACTCCAAAAAATTACTACCATCTCAAGATGATATTAAGAAATTAGAAACTTATTTAAATGATACACTAAAAACAGCTTCCGACTCATTAAAGCAAACATTTTCTTTAAATACTTGGAAAACGTTGGCAGAATGTTGTTTGCTGTCTATCCAGTTATTTAACCGACGTAGATCTGGAGAAATCGAACGTGCTTTAATTGAAGATTTTCAGAATTATGAATCAGTGAATGAAAATACAGTAGGTACGTCTTACCTATCGCTTAGCAATGAAGAAAAGAAAGCAGCACAAAAATATGTTCGATTCACTATGAGAGGGAAATTAGGCCGCACTGTACCGGTTTTACTTCATAGGCAAATGTTAGAACATTTACAATTACTTCTAAGTCATCGTGAAACTGCAAAAGTTCATCTAAAAAATCCATACCTTTTCGGAATACCTGGCATATTAAAGGGAGATTATCGTTACTTAAGAGCATGTGAGCTTATGAGAAAATATTCACAGGAATGTGGAGCTTCAAATCCAAATACATTGCGAGGAACTAATTTAAGAAAGCACATAGCTACTATGTGCACTAATTTAAATTTAAGAGATCATGAAGTTTCTGATTTGGCTAATTTTATGGGTCATGCGGATAAAGTACACAAAGAACATTATCGGCAGCCTATTTTAAGTAGAGAAATATTCCAAGTGTCTAAATTATTAGAGATTGTACATGGAAAAGACAATGATGAAGAAGCAGAGGAAATTGATATAGAGCAAAATAATTTTCATCAAAGTATATCGTCGCGTAAGTTTATTTGTTTCTCTTTGTTTATCTTAATTTTTAAGTTGTCAACATACGTTATCAACATTAGTTATACTAATAATTATTATATTATTTATAATTAACAAAATAAAGCAAAGCATAGCACACAATTACAGTGAGGTTGATAAAGTTCTAAAATTGTAATTTTAATGTTTTTTATAGAAGATAGTAATTCTATATAAGAAAGCAAACTTAATACGAACAAGCAAAAATTTAGTAAAAAGTTTTTATTTTATTTAAATTTTTAATGTTATAGTGCAAATACATACTAAAAAAATATGTTTATCATAATTAATAACTCTTTATGTATAAATCTACTTTTTCTTAAAATGTAATTTTTAATATTACAACGTGATTTAAACATCTGAGTTATACTAATTTTTTATTTTAAAACATGAATTGCATTTTAACCTAAATCTTTAAATTAAATCAATTTCTATTGTTATCCTAATCAATCCAAAAAATACAATCTATATTATTATGATACACAAGCAAATTTCATTTAATATTTAAAGAAGTATAATATTACACGCGACAAATGGAAAACTATTATATATATGTATATACGCATTTACAAAATTAACCGTAAAAAACTTTTGTAAAATCTATATAAAAATAATATTACTATAATCTAAAATAATTATCTTAATACTTGAAAATAAAAACTTATTATTTTAACCAAAACGTTGTACAAAAGATTTATTTTAATTTTCCATATTTGTCTTAATATATATCAAAAATTAATGATATCAAAAAATTACGCCAACTGAAAATAAAAATCTAGAAAAGTTAATAATTAGAAACTAAAAACTACAAAGAACTAAAAATTTATATAAAAATTAAAAATTAATACAAATAAAAAAATTTTAATTAAAAAAAACTTGGCGCTGCTAAATTTCAAAGTATATTAAATTAGTTAAATAGTAATTTTAATTTTGATGTCAAATTTAGTATACAGCATATTATTTAGCAGCACTAAGTTTTTTTAATTAAAAATTTTTTTATTTGTACTAATTTTACATTTTTATATAAATTTTTAATTTTTTGCATTAGTTTCTAATTATTAATTTTTCTAGATTTTTATTTTCTAGATTTTTATTTTCAGTTGGCGCAATTTTTTGATATCATTAATTTTAATAATCAGATATATATTAAGACAAATGTGGAAAATTAAAATAAATCTTTCGTACAACTTTTTGGTTAAAATAATAAATTTAAGTAGTAATACTATGAGAGTTCTAACTCAGGTCCTCTCAGGGGGGGTGAGGCGCGAGGGGAACCGCGGTGCGGGGGGGAGTGACGTCACGCGCGGGGAAGGAGGAACCGTGGCGCGCGTTGGGTGACGTCACCCGCGGGGAAGGGGGACCCGCGGCGCGACCGATGGACGAGGGGGTCCGCGAGGTGAAGGGGAACCGCGGCGCGACCGATGGACGAGGGGGTCCGCGAGGTGAAGGGGGATCCGCAGCGCGAGCGATGGACGAGGGGGTCCGCGCAGTGAAGGGGGATCCGCGGCGCGAGCGATGGACGAGGGGGTCCGCGAGGTGAAGGGGGATCCGCGGCGCGAGCGATGGACGAGGGGGTCCGCGCAGTGAAGCGGCGCGAGTGATGGACGAGAGGGTCCGCGCGGTGAAGGGGGAACCGCGGCGCGACCGATGGACGAGGGGGTCCGCGCAGTGAAGGGGAATCAGCGGTGTGAGAGATGGACGGTGGTGTGAGAAGGACAGCGCTACGTGTGGGAAAAGGACAGTGCAAAGTGTGAAGAGGACAGTGCGACAAGGATGGCGTTAACGTGGGACAAGGACGACGTATAGGTGGGAGAAGGACGACGCAAAGGTAAGTGAACAACGAATATATGAAAGAGAGAGAACGATAGCGCCAAGATGACATGTACAAGAGAGAGAACGATAATATCGCGAGACTTGAAATTAGCGCGTGCGAGAGAGAACGATAGCGCGAAGATGACGCGTGCGAGAAAGAGATATCGCGAGACTTACAACTAGTGCGCGAGAGAGAACGATAGCGCGAAGATGACGCGTGCAAGAGAGAACGATATCGCGATGCTTATAACTAACGCAAGGATGGGGACGCGAGGAGAGGCACGTAAATAATTAGATTTTTTTTTCTCAATTAAAATATATAAAATTTATTAAAATGTGTGTGTTAATACAATTTTGTGTGTGTGTGTGTGTGTGTGTGTGTGTGTGTGTGTATGTACTTAAAATTATGATTAATATAAAATATAATATAATAATAATAATATAATAAAATAATGATATAATTATAATAATAATAACTTGGGGGTGCGGGGGGGGGGGCAGAGGAGCCAGGTGAGGGGGCCGCTCCAGGAAGTTTAAGGGGTGATGCGTCAGGCTGAGGAGGCGTTGCGCCAAGCTAAGGGGAGACCGCTTCTGTAACAGAAAAGATACATATTTTATTAGATTTTAATAATTTATTTTAGGATACTTTATTTAATATAAAAATAATACTTACAATGTTATCCATTTATTTAATTTGTGCAAATGGGGCACATATTGCATGGTAATATTTGATGTAAATTTTTCTTGCACTCTTTGCAATAAGTGCCCATTAATAGAGCACAATAATCCGTTTTATGTTTTCGAACGGAGTATACGTTGTGAAATGATGATGCTAATCTTAAAAAACAATCGGAACAATACTTAGTTCCGTCTTCCATATCGTAATAATAATATTTAATGCGACACATTTTTATAGTAACATCCAGGTTATTTATTTCCATCACGTTTAAATGTTTAAATTTTTTCAGTCTTAATTCTTCATCATTATCACTGGCATAATCTGAATCCACTAAGGATGGTATTTCCTCCTCTTCGGATTCTTCCTCAGAGCCATCGACATCCATTTGATTTCCATCTTCGACTATAACAGCCTCTTCAATGTCCTCATCAACGATAATAACATCTTCGTCTTCAATGTTGATGATGATTACATCTTCGTCTTCATCATCAATGAAAATTACGTCTTCTTCGGCCATTGCACTAACGTAACACACAAGACTAACGAAACGCAAAGAACAACGAAATAATATTCTAATGTCGCAGACTCCTCTTCATTATATATCTTTTTAATATCTCGCGTCTCATTCCAATTAGAGCATCGCGTCTCATCTACCTCAGCATTTCTCTACATCTTGAGAAAAATTGTCGACTATTCTTATTCGTATGGAAGGAAAGAAATAAAATCATAGATTGAATAAAAATAATTATTTATTGCACGCATCGTAAAGAATATCATTTACAGCACATGTTAATAATTCGCAATCGATCAATGATTCGCTGTCAAAGACATCACTCTCACGTATCGTTTTTACAGCATCGCATACAGTAGTAATATTATTACGTTGTAATACAGTTTCAAATTGTTTAAATTTTTCATTTACGAGATACGTATTCTCGCATAACCAATTATGCATAAGATCGATACAATTTTCAAAAATAAATAAATGTAATAATGTTTCTGGTTTCATGTACAACGAATTTTCGCATAATGCAAGTTTTACAATTTTCGATTGATACATTTCAATCGTTAAATCTCCAATTCTTAATGGGGGAGCAGTCGATTGTAGAAATTGTTCAACGTCTGCTTGCTTCCGCATCAACAAATTCCACGTTGAAAAGGACAACACTATTTGATTGCCTCGATTATCGCCGAGAATCAGTTCCACGTACGATACAGCTCCAACGCTTATTCCAACGTCTAAATACTTGTACGACGTCGGGGTTAGAGCGTACCTTCTTCCAAGTATGCGAGCCGCACGACGAGGCTGAATACTATAAAAATATAAATAATTATACAACAATATTAAAAATCAATAAGTAGCAAATTTTTTAAACGATTTAAACTTACGTGTCGCATTTTTGCTTCTTACACGGTGGAGTTTCACCGTTTCGAATCGGAACGTAGAAATTCATATTTCTTCAGCGGTGAACCTTTCACACGCGCGATTGATGCAATACTGCAATCGTGTTAGAATCAATATCAATTCAAATAGTATCCCAAATTGTGATGTAGAGGGGATTATTGCTGACGCAACATTTTAATTTCCTCCAAAATTTTGTCGCGCCGATGTATGGCTGCGATGACATCATCATCTTCGGAACAAAGATTTAGCTGAAATTGCTAAAATCGAGCGCCGATGTACGGCTGCTCCTGATACAATCACGTCAAAATTATTCAAATGTACGTGACAAAACGGGAAATTTTCAAGGTTAAGATCTGCATCGAAACTAAGATTTAGCTGAATTTGCAAAAATCGAGCGCCGATGTACGGCTGCGCCTGATGCAATCACATTAAAATTTTCAAATGTACGTGACAAATAGTGAAAAAATAATTGCCAAGGTTAAAATGTGTATCATCCCTAGACAAAGATTTAGCTGAATTTACTAAAATCGAGCGCCGATGTACGGCTGCGCCTGATGCAATCACACCAAAATTATTCAAATGTACGTGACAAATAGTGAAAAAATAATTGCCAAGGTTAAAACATGCATCATCCCTAGACAAAGATTTAGCTGAAAGCGCTAAAATCAAGGGCCGATGTACGGTTGCCCCTGATGCAATCATGTTAGATTTTTCAAATGTATTGTACGTGACAAAACGTGAAATTATCAAGGCCAAATTGCACACGGTACTATGGGGAATTTTTTGTAAGATGAAATCGTTCTAGAATGTTCGATGATAAAACAATGCATGAGACGGTATATAAATCATGATAGAGAGACGCACCCCACCAGTAGCTAAAGTGCATCAGACCTGTCATTAGAAACGCTAAATTTTGCAAGTGTACGTTAGCAATATGGAGGAGCAAATTTTGCGAGAACAATCCGCTTTGCTTGATTCATTGGAAAACTACATTGTGTGGGAGCAACGATGCGACGAGTACATCGAGTCGCTGGAAGAGCAAAGTCGAATCAAACGACCGCGATTATCGATCGGAAATCGACAATCACTGATTGCTCGAATCGCGCGCCTCGAAGGTTTGAAAAATTCGGTACGGAGACGTTTCGTACACGCGGGTGCCGGATGTAGTGCGCATCAAAATGCACTTGTGTGGCGTGAAATTGATACGGCGTTCGAGAGTCGCGTATCGACTGGTGCGGTGATAAACTATAATCACATTGAACCGCACCAATTTCTCGATGA